ATCCAATAGAAATAGAAAGAACCAATTCAGTTTTAGAATAAAATATAAAATTTAGCAATACTAAACTCAAGTATGCTTTAATTGATAGTCCTGTAGATTTGTAGTGATAGATCTTAGAATTTTTATTATTTTGTCATTCTATTGGGACAATATGTCTCCATAAGAAAAGTCAAGAGACTTTTTTTTTGGTAGAACGCATTGGAAAAAACTAATAACTAATCATCGAAATAAGAAGCGAGTTTTACAAAAATACTTATTTTCGATGTTTGAATAATTCTTATGACAGTCAATCAAATTTATTAGGTTTTATTTCTTATTTCATTATGACAACATAGAGAAAAGCGAGACAAACAACTTTTCTCTTTGAATTGACACTTGCAAACATGCTCAACAAGTTCTATATGTTCCCTAAGATCTCTTTAGCGAAAATTGCTTAAATTATGTGAGATTTTCCAATATGTATTTCACTTGAGTGATCTCATTAATGCATCAAACCCTTCAAAAAAAAAGAAACAAAGAAACTATCTTCAGTCGATCTCAGTATCTTGAGAGCTGAACTTCAATAGTAAAATGAATTGACGAGATGATACTTTTATGTGCAATAGAAAACATTTTACGCTATTGAATAGAATACTTATTTTTATTTATTTACATTTATGTTTAGTTGATAAAATTATAGGAACGTGATGTGCTAGCGGCCAATGCTGGATTGATTTGAATTACGTTAGTTCGAGTAAGTCAAATCATTTTTGTGGGACTCTCACCATTTCTATTAAAACAATGAAAACATACAGTTTGTTTTCTTATTCTCACATGGATTAATAGAAAAAAAAAGAATCCTTTTGGGGACTTGAGTTCGTAAGTCTGAAAAATTCATTTCTAATACAAGGTAATTTAATCGGTTTCTCTGTACTCTCGATTTAGTATGTACGATCAATACATGCATAGAATCAATGATAAGAAACGTTTACCTCTAATGACAGATCTGTAAGAATTATCAGTTCTATGCGGCGTAAGAATCAAATAGAAAATACTTTGAACTATCTGCCCCTGAAAATATCTTTTTTATGTTCTTTAAGAGGCATGCATGCGAAAATATCTATATACTTTTTTTTAACGTTTTATTGCATGGTGGGATAGAGTGCATTGATTTACCTCGGGAGAGTTCCTTTTTAATTCTCAATAGCGAATATTTCAAGAAAGCTTAATCAAAACAATGTCGTGTTTTAGGTCTCTTTCCAATAGATGCCAATTTTCCTGTATCCGTGTATATAATAAGTTGTCTGTTCTGTACAACTCTATAAATAGTTTTGCTTGGGTCATGACACAAATTAGACTAGAGAAAAAGTAATTTTAAAATTATTTTATTTTTAGTCACATTGTTGTCATCACGAGAGAAAGCATATTGAAAGATTTGCTCTGAGCGAAAAACTTATTATAGTCACAGATGCATGAAAATTGCCTTCTTTTGTCATCAAATCTAAAACACAAGAGTTTTTAATAGCATTCTTGAAAAAATTTTGAAGAATTGCGTTCGTACTTTCCTCCGGATAACTCGACATGCCGTAACCGACTATCTAGAGAAATGTCAAAAATAAGTTCGCAAGAATTTTGAATTGTGTGCTCGTTGGGATGATAGAGAAAATATTCAGATGTATCGACTTTTTTATAAAAACATCTGACTGACAACAACTAACTATACAATTATTAAAAATACTGAAAAATTCGTCAGTTATACAAACTTGATCCATAGCAGTATAAATAATTATAAGAAGCATGTTTTTAATAGAATATTATTCCAAAATATCATGAAGAATTGTTAATAAGAAAATATTGACAATAATATATTTGATATTATTCTTTTAATAAAACTAAAATCAACATGCTGATCTATGAATATTGTATTCTCTTACGATTCAACGATTGACTCTGACTCGATTATATACAACATGTTTACAATGAAACATGTTATTAAATAGAAAATCATTTTCTCTGTGCAGCTTGTCGTTAATTCTTCATTGAAGTTCTTATCTCTGTTGCACGTATTACTGCTTAGATGAGAAATAAATATTTCGTGAAGACTAAATCTCAGCGTATTAAAATATTATTTTTAGTATCACAGGCTAATGAAACAAATGCACAATCATATCTATTTGCATACCTCTTCTTTACTTTATGCTTATGTGTATGTAACTTTGTTTGATTATGAAATATCGAGAGACTTGGAAAATAAAAAAGAACAATGCATTAAAATGATGAAATTCATATAAAAATTGATGTGTTTCAATATCATTGATTAAAAATAACATTTTAAAGAAGTAGATTGTATTGAATTTGAATTAGATTAATTTTCGCGTTCGTTTCGCCATCAGAAATGTTTGTGTGTTGTATTTTATCATATAAAATACACGAAAATCATGAATTTTTTTAAAATTTTCTTTTATGTGCATAGTTATCAAGAGAATTTTATGTTTGAGAAGAAAATATTATTAGTTCAACACAAAATCATGTAAATCAATAGTTAAATCATACAGTTGAATATTTTAAAAAATTAAATAAAGTTTGTAGTAATGATGAACATTATTGATATTCAATTGAAAAAATCCAAAATTTAAACAATCAACATTCGTTAAAGTTAGATAAATAATGAACAAACGAAATATATATTTCAATTAACTGATGAAACAAATTATCAATGTCTAAAACATTTAGCGAATGACATATCATAGTATGACATTGAACACAATATAACTATTTATCAATTTGAAGTAAATAATTTACAAAGTATTATTCAACATATATTTATTCATGTTTAAGCTTATGATATACTTATGGCATTTAGTGAAACAATTGATGAAATACCAAAATATCAGCTAAGATTAATTGATAAATCATTATTATATTGTGGAAAGTAAATACAGAGAAATCTAATTATTTTTCTGAACAATAGTCAAAAACAATTCAAAAAAAATCTATTTAAGCTGTAAAAAATGTATATCAGCCAATATCAATATTTCATTAAGAATATAAACGATTGTTTTGTTTTTCATTATTAACTAAATAAATGAAAATTTTGAATGTATAAGAAAATATGAAACAGAGTCATCTATATGTAATATTGATTTATTTTTCTTCTATTGGATACCAATGACATCATATCATGAGTAATGCAAACATAAAAAGAATATATATGCTCGTGACGAATCTTTGACGTAAATAGGGTTTTCATTACTTAATAAAAACAAAACTTTAGGCTGCATTGACGAAATAATAATATTGATAATAATAATAATAATAATAATACAGATGTTTTTCGTAACCAGAATTGTCTATGTATTGATTTAGTTGGGAGGTGCTATGTAAGAGTTATGAATCACATAATTTAAAGATGTAAAATATGGTTATATAATGAAATTAAATAGGCAGATAATGGTATCTTATTTGATACTACTTCAATGATATCGTTGGAATGAAGAATAACACGAGATAATATGGTCAAAATCAGTTCAACAAGGTATCTAACATTTTTTTTTAAATGTACATATTCAAATGAATACCAATGTTTCATCTAGATTGTCTCCGTTCGGAGGAGTGATTTAAAAATTCGAGAGAAAAAAATCTATTTTTTAGAACACAGAAATAATAGTAGGTGCTTAAATAACTACAAAGTTGGGGAGAGTCAACCTTCTTCTTGAAGAGACGCCAATGCCACACACTAGATAAAACACTGGTGAATACCTTTGTCAATATGAAAATAATCGAATTGAATTATTAATGAATTAAATTTGAATAAGATAGATAATATTCTTTTTTTGGAGACAATATAACTCTATTGAATTAACAATTTATTTATCAATTAGATCTCGATATGATTTGCAGACAATAAATTATCAAGACTTTTTAGAAAATCACAAAAAAACAAATGTTAAAATTCTCATTTAATTTGATACATTTTATTTTTTAGCCTATTCTGGAAAGTCTTGCAACAAAATCTATACAACATTACAATATGAATTATGATAAATTCATCGATGCTATCAACAAGAAAATGTTTAGCAAGACCTCGTTCTGTTTATGAGATATTTTGGGCTTTACAACAAAAAAGTTTCTAAACATATGCTAACGTTTGTCAATATGTGTCACCATGTTGCATAAGATAAAAATTTCTTTGGTATGTCTGAAATAGTATACGACATACTATTAAGTCTTATCTATGTCTTGTATCACAAACAATAGCATGTTGTACATAAAGGGTTTAATTTTCTGATTATAAATTTCAATATTTATTGACAATGATGGTTCGATAAAAATAATGTATCTATATGGAATTATCTTAAAAAATACAATTATGACAATGATTACATATTTTATACATGTATTCTTGCTAAATATCAATGATTATGATAAATAATGGTACTTCTGAATCCAAATAACCATCATAAAAAGTTGGATTGTATGAAAATATCAATAGCACTGACGCTAGATTAAAGTGATGTTTGAATCAGTCTCCATATTGGATGATTATTTTATAAATTACCCATAGTTTCTCTCTTCCTACGACAATATAATCATACACGCCTGTACACAAACACACCCCGCTCTTGAATCATAAGCCATCACTCATATATTGTTATTAATATTGGCTCATGGCATTTCTTCTCTCAAACATAGAAAAAAAAAAAAGTTGCAGAAAGGATAAAAACGAAAAAAAAAATGTTGTTGTTTTTATTGTAATTACGATACATGATGTGAAAAACGCCATCAGAAAAGATAGAAAGCAAAAAAAAACAAATTTGTGTCACGTTATAGACGTCAATGAATTTCTCTGTATTGAAACCATGCGCGTTCTGACTCATTTTTTTTTATACGGGCGTTATTATTAGAGAACGAAAAAGTTATTTTTTCTAACATTTTTTGATATAAAAGACATCAACGATGAGGACTCCGACAGTAACATCATCGCACGCGATCAGATTCTATTATCAATCGATTAACTAATTATGTGTATGAATACTTTACAACGAGAAGGTCAGAATTCTACATTGAATCCTTCTATGATTAATACTGAAGCATTATCATCGGAAGTAAAAGCATATCCTAGAAGTTCATCAGAAAATAGTCTTGGATCTTTTGATGATCATGATATTATTGAGTTTGGTCCAATTAAAGTAAAACGACGTAAAAAACCCGCACCTACATTAGCTACTGGTCGTCGATCAAAATATGAGATACTAAGTCCAGAAGAAGAACAAAAACGTGATATAAGACGAGCACGTAATCGTGAAGCTGCTGAACGTGTACGTATAAGTCGATTATGTGTTGAACAACAATTACAAGATCAAATAGATACATTAGAAGAACAAGAACAAAAATTATTAAACGATGTACAAAGGCTTCAATACCAAAAGCTACAATTAGAAACACGAGTTTTTACGCATGAAAAAATGTGTCCTATTAGATCGTTATCGAATGCACAAAATCATTTCATGCCGACACTTATTTCAACTAGTGCTCCAATATCAACAACATTTCAACAAGGAGAACACACATCTGATCCTTACTTTGAAGACTTATTCTCTAATTTACCACCTCCTGTACAACTTCAGTCAAATAATTATTCGAATTTAACAACAACAACGATGCCCGGTGATGATTTAGATATTTTTTTGATGGATATGCAAATGATATGAATATCTCGACGCTCTGCTTATTCATAATGCTAATGTGTAATTAAATAATCCGTTCAATACATATAAAATTGTTTTTTTTTTGTTGACTAACGTTTGGATTCGATCGGGTTTGTTGTAAGACAAAGCGATATCATATTAGTAATGAAAAAGAATGAATAATAATTTTCGTTTTTCTTCTTTCAACAAGCTCGTATCAATGAATCTTCATGTGTGATATATTCGTTTTTGAATTAGATTTGCTTCAAATATGATTTTTTTTTAGTTTTTGAAAACAAATAATATACAATGACAATAATTAAAAAAAAAAAATAAAATAGATAAGTAGAAAAACTAAATACACTTTTAGGTGATGACAAAAGTACAATGAGAATTCATAGGAGTTGATTGTTTGCGAAAACTTTGCTTATTTGTCTCTCATTCTCCTTGAAAATCAATATCAGCATCATTACACTTCTATGCACAATTTATTTTTACCTGCAGGCTAAATAACAAGCGTTTTCTTTCTTTCCTTTTTGACATTTTATATAAACGATTTCGTGACATTAAATCGTTTTTTTTGGGCGCTGAATAAGTTCTCAAATATTAAAAAAAAAAACTACTTTTGCGTGTTTTATTTATCGTAAAATAAGTATTTCTCATCTGGCTCATGTCCTGTCTATGGTAAATATAATAATTACTCTTTGAAAAAGAACATAGCTTGACAAATCTAATACATTTGATGTTGCATGTTAAGAAACATATAAAACATTTATATCTTGAATGGATATTTAGTATATTGTTAACCTTGTATTTTAAAATATATTATGAAAGATAAAGAAGCAAAAAAAAACAGCTTCGTATGAAATTTATTAACATTTACAACATAGTGGAGCGTAAATTTTGTGGTTAAATAGGTGTTGATATGTATTATTATATAATATCCGTTTGATCTTAAAATATTTGCAATTGTAATATGAATGATGATTAACATATTTATTTCACTTTTTTTTGTTGCGAAAATATCAAGATACCCTTAAATTCTGAAAAAAATGAAACGAGAACCGCTGTGACCTGTTTAACAAGAAGTATTTGACTTGTAGAATAAGAAGTGGATGCTTTTAATAGCATGGTTCGTAAATTCTTTTTTTTCTCTTAGTGTTTGCTTTAACTGACATTGATGATTGAAAAATTTGAAAGAAAAAGGAAGTAAAAACAACTCGCTTTCCTTTTTTTCTTGTTATGTTTTTTATAAAACATTTAGCTACTCAAGCCAAATATTTGCTGTTTGGATAATATGATTGAATAGGAATCAATTTGGAAATACATTATTTAAAAAAATAAAGAAAATATTTTTTTCTTAACTTACAATCAACATCAAATTCGTTCTAGTAGTATCAAACATAATATAAACTACTAACTTTCAAATCGAAAAAATGTTTAGCAATAATGAATTCGTTTATGAAGGTTTTTTAGTATTTGTATTGAAAATAATTAACACAGATTTTCTTCGTTATGTGAGGCATTATACAGAAATAAAGAAGACAAAAAAACGTCAGAAAACGTATATTTTCTACTGATAAATAGTGATTACGTACATGCTTATATTTATGTTAACTAATATTAAAAACTCAATGAAATAAAATGCATTAATTTGTACATTGTTACCAAACTTTTATTCTACTAATATGTGTTGAAGAAACACTTACCGAAAAGTTCAGTTTATTTATTTGATTATGAAGAATGAAGAATATACGCCAATGCCAATATGATTATTCATATACAAAGGATTTCTTGTGATGCTTTTATATGAGAATGCATTATCGTCGGAATATCTATTTAGAAGGTGTCATTTCCGCTTATTAAAAAAAATTTTCTCAGCCGTCACGATGTATTTTTATTGGATGAAACTTTTCAACGCTACTATTATCTAGATTTACGTCTCTGGAAAATTATTTTAAATTATCAAAATGATTATATACCGTTTAATTACACTATTCAATTATTTGCATCGTATTTATGGTAATTTAGACATTCATGTCAATCAACAATAACATGTTTTTATTTATAAAACAGTACAACTTTCTTTATGACGTTTTTTGTTTTCATTTTAACAAACATTTTATTGAAACAAGAATTTTTCCCTAAACATAACCTCAAGCTTTGCCAGTTTATAAAGAATATCTTCAATAATTTGCCTATGCAATAATAACAAAATTAGTGAACCATTGACTGAGTTATTAACTAATTGAGTTCAAAGTTAATTGAAAATTCGAGGCTGAGAAATATTTTTTTAAAAATTTCTATTGTTTCATACGAGTGTTATATTTATTTGATTCTGGTATAGGTTTGTAGAAAGTCATAATTAACAGTAATTAGTGACGCTCTAGTGTAAAAACTAAGTTTTTCTTATGTCAAAATAAATCAGAAACAGTCGTGTAATATATAATTCGATAGATCTTGAGAAGTGCTATCGATTGCTCAACAACTAATTTCTTTTGAAAAGTTCGGTTTTCGAAAAACAACCTCGATATCATGAACAACATGTTACAAAATTGACTCGTGTCTTTTCAGTTTAAGCATTATACTTCTCCTTACGATCAAACTGTATATAATATTAAGAAGCAGTTTCAAAGACTAAGTTGAATCTTATATTTTTTATGTAATTAAATTCTATCAATATTATTCCTGGTCTCTTCCATAGCTTTTTTAAAATAATTTCGTCTGCGGCACTTCCGTTATACGATTTTTAGAAAAAAAAATGAACAGATTTAACACTCATTTGAAACACTAGAATTTTTTTAAAATCTTCTCAATCTAAAATTTTCATTGAATTTTGAACTTGATTAATTAATAACATTGTCAAGTTCATCAAGTTCTCTTATTGAATAGGCATGATATTGAAGGTGTTGCATACAAACTAACAAGGCTGAAGGTATGCTTCCGAAAACACTCCTCCTGCCCTATAAATGCGTTGTTCTTTCAAATGCAGATTGCTCAGTCCAGTAACTGTCACAAAAATATCCTATTCAATACTTATTCATCCAGATTAAATTATCATAGAAGTTAAAAAGCTTGTTTTTTCTCGCGTGAAAAGTCGGTGTGTTAGAAACACTTTATAATCATTCTAAAATTTAGACTAAAAAGAAATTTTTATGCATAGAAATCCTTAAATAGGCTAATTTTAATAATCATCGAATGCTTCAAAATCAAATTATAAAGGTTATAAGATAAGTTCTGATTCTCTCATGAAATATTTTATTTCTTACATGTTTCTAGAGTGAAAGAGGCTGATATTCATTGTGTATAGACTAGATGTCTAGATCTACTGTATACTAGAACTTGAGCGTTTTACCTGTTATTATTACATAGATGCAAACATTATCAAAATCAGAAGCTTTGAAATATTATCAGGATAATAATGAATGAGAAAAATTATAGTCATTCAGTCAAGCATTCATTACAAGGAGGTTATGTTTTACTACATATAACTCTTGCCTTCTGTTACTTATCAACGTTACTATGAATAGGAAAAAGATTTGCTAGTGAATTAGAATTGAAAGTTCAAGTGGTACAACAATGGAAAATGATGTTGACAAATGATTAAAAAATATCGAATCGTCTGAAGCTAGTAATACATCAAAATGGAGAACAAATATATGAACATTTATCAATGGTTTTTATTGTTTAAAAAAAAAAGAATTTGAATTTGTAAATCTGTTTTCGAGCAGCTCTTTTTATGTGATATCATAATCAAGAATTAGAAATACTCAAGTTTTTTTTGAAAATAATTTGATTTTGTTATTTAGATAATGCTTGTATCTATGTAATAATAACAAGTAGAACGCTTAAGTTCTAGCATACAGTAGATGTAGATATCTAGTATATATACTATAAATATAAGCCTCTTTCACTCTAGAAATATTTAATAAAACAAATATTTCATGAGAGAATCAGAACTTATTTTATACCCTTTATTCGTAATATTGATTCTTTTATAAAATATGGAAAATATTTCAGGAGCGTAGCCAGGAGGTGTGCACAGGGTGCTTGGGCACCCCCCTTGACCAAAAAATATCTGGAGGGGAATACGAACGAAAAAAATCTTTTTGAGAAATAAAAATTTATTTTACTGCTGGTGTGCACCCCCATAATGTGTCAGACATCCTCCTTGGGAAATTCCTGGCTACACCACTGAAATATTTATTACAATGTACCTAGAAACCTTCATGCTTATGTAATAATATTTACTATTACATTTTGACATGAGTATTATTAGTGTATATATATTTCCTTCGATAATTTTAAACACGATGCATTTTAAACTGTATAATTATTAATATTTAAGTAATAAGTATATGATTCAAAAAAAAACACAGCTAATTTTAAAGAAAGGACAGATAATTATGGTTTAGTTGATTGAGATCTTTATAGAATTTTTAATCTGGAAATGAAATATCATGACGAATAAACTACTGTACATTTGAAATTACAGAAAAAAAAATGCCATTAGCAATTAAAAGTATTCATTTGTTTCTTTTATTTTATTCTTATGAATTCAAAGGAATGATACTATGAACATTAAACGAGAACAACATCAAAGAAGAATAGCAAGCTGAAATATTAAAGAAAAAAGTATTTTACAAATCCGAAACAAATGATGCATCAAAACTAAGTACAGATGCATTGTGTTCTACTAATAAATTTCGTTTCTGTTCATTGATTAAATTTATATTTGTTTGATTCGTTGATATTGTTAAAGATTGTTTTTTTGAAACTGTTTGACATGTATCATCTTTTACTGTTACTGTTTTCATAGGTATTTTTTGTTTTTTTGTTTGATTAAGATTATTTTTATTACTTGATAATGTTAAATTTTTTTTAATAACTGTTTTTGCATGTAAATATTGATCATCATTTGTTGATAAACAACAATAAAAAACATGTTTAAAACTTAAACGAAATATACCACTAAGAAATGCATATAAAATTGGATTTGTTGATGAATTAACAAATAAAAGAAA